AGAACAATGCGGTCTTCAGTAAACTGGCGCATGATGTGTTAGATCGGTGTCAGATGCACCATTTGACAAAGAGTTGGTGCATGATGCACCATATTTGGCGCCGGATATACCAGAGACGACTTTTTGCAAATTAATGTGATTCAAGACAAATTTTGAGCGAGTTTTCGAAGGGACACTTGTTCTAAACACCCCTTAGAGTGATTCAATGCCTCTAGAAACTTTGGAAGGTTCTTTTATGAATGGATATGTCTCTTGGATCAATGGACATGTCTTTTGAATTCAAAAGAGTTTACTTTTGGATAGAATTTTGGAGGGAAATTTGAATTCTTTTTGAAGAGATGCAGCCTTTGATAAAAGAGAGGGGAAGTCTAGGGATTAAAGAGAGGGCTTTTGGGTGTTAGTTGAAGTGACGTGAAGCGACAAGGAGAGTTAGAGAGAGAAAGTCAAGGGCTTGGAGATTTTCTTCAAGGATTGTAAGAGGAGAGGGAAGGTGAGAGATTTCTTCTTCATTACACTTCTAAGAGAAATTTGAGAGTGCTTGTAAAAAGAGAAAGGATTGGAGAGAACTTCTAAGGATTTACTTGGGAAGGATTGTGAGATAAGTTGTGTCTTTTATTTCTTTTATTTTATAAACTTATTTTTATATATGAAATCTGTGATTTATTGTATCTTTCTCATGAATTCTGAGTAGTCTTCTTTTTTCTTCTCCCCACTTTGAGATATGATTTTGTGAATAATTGATTTTATTTTATATGATTTTAAATGTCAATAATTTGTGAAGATTTGAACTCTTATATTGATTTACTTGTCGATCTGGCCAATTGAATTGTTTAAATGTGTTGAGAAACATATGTTTCGAAAGGGCTTTGATTTCGACAACATGGAGAGAATCGCATTTAATTTCATGGAATAGTATTTCATCCATGAAATTGGGTGCAAATAAATAGGGAAATATACTTTGTTGGATACAGAATTAGAGATTTTAAGGTGACATATTAAAATACCCAACTTGGTCCAATTGATTGGACACTGATGCGAGATTGTTAGCCCTCAGGTGACGGAGTAGTTGGAGCTCTGAAGTGGCAATCAGTATCCTCCCAACCAAATCACAGAATTATGGACCAAACTCTGGATTAATCAATGCTCTTTATGAACTCGGAAGAGGGTAAAGAATAAAATTACTCATAAAGAGGAATGATGTTTTCTTAAATTTGAACTTTCATCACAAAAACTTAATTTAATTTTCTTAAGTTTACTTTTGAAAGTTTAGAATTTTGTTTAGTTAACTTTGTCTTTCAACTGCATTTTAATTAGCATTCACTTGTTACTTAATATTCAAACTTCACACTTTATTTTTTGTGTAGTTTTAAAAATTATACTTTACATTATAATCTTAAGAACTTATTTATAGACATTTCTAACTTCCCTGTGGGATTGATATCTAGAACTACATTAGAGCCTTTTATTACTTGAGCGATACATATACTTATGTTATTTTTAAAGGGAATTTGAGAGTTTAAAGATTTTAAAAAAATATAACTATTTTAACTAAAGTTGTTTTGTTGGGATTAATTTGCATATTTGCTATTGTATCTGTCGTGTGTATTTTGTAATATTGAAAAATATTTACAAAATTAACACACTAAATCCACCCGAATCAATAAGTTGTTTATCATCAGTTAATCCGGATAAGCTAGTTGGTTGTTTAGTTTTTGTTGTTGGAAAATAATTGTTTTGCAATTATCTTTAGATAAATGATTATTCTGCCCCTATGTAGCAATGTTGTTCGCAACAGAACAATCATAACAATATATTTGATTCTTGAGAAACAAAAAAGACTTCAAAACAATACAAAAAATAAGATACAGACCTCACTTAACAGTGAGTATCAAGTTTGATAAAAAAAACTATTAAAATTATAATTAAAAATGTGATAATATTAACTTTAAAATCCAGACCGCGTATGCCACGAGCTACATCATCCTCCATAGATACCATCCAACCCCAATCACTATCAGAGTGGAATTTATTAGATTGTCTTCTCACCGAAAGATGCCACGCTTCTCTGTGATGCTCCATAGACACTTGTAGAACTATCTCCCGTAGCTATGTGTTAGACATAACGTCAGTAGGGAAGTATGTTGTCCGCAGTGGTAGAGCACTCGTCGGAAGGTCACTGAAATCCTGGAGCTCATCTTTTTTGAATGATTTAAATGATAATTCGTTACTCAGAACAAAAGCTGAAATTGTTTAAAGAAGTAATTAATTACAATTTTTTTGCAGGCGTGAGGTCTCAAAGAACAAAGTATATCAACCAACAAATCTGTCACTGCAAGAAGATAACAGATCTTGTAAGAAAAGGGTTCTTGGTTTCATTTTGCTCACTCAATACCAAACTCGTGTGCGTTACATATGCATATTACCAAAATAGGGTCATTTAGAAGTACATCAAAGACCTTGACATTGAAAAGAAGAGAGGAACTTCTTTGCATATATCAGGAATTCACATGTGACACCAACCAACAACGACTAGCAGACCATTCAGAGGAACCCAAAAGGTCGAACGACTCATCATAGACCTCACGAACCCATAAAAAAAAGAACGAAAGCAATTCAAATGAAGAAAAAATAATTACAAATATCATAAAACTCACAATATCTTAAATATAAATAATACATGAAACATAAAACAAGCAGGAACTTTATTAAATAAATAAGAAGCGTCCAATTAATAACAAAAAATGGTGTCTGTGATCCGCTCTCACAATTCAACCATTTCTGCTGCACCCTCGTCATCCTGGGTGTAACCTTCATGTGACTCTGCCTCTGGCTGTGTTATATGTTATCCTACATGAAATTCAAATGGATCTATTATCCTTTGAAGCATCTATTGTCCATTTCACTGGATCCCAACCCAAGCCCGTGGATCTCTGTTTTAGTTCCTTCCATAAATTTCAATCATTCTTCAACAGATCTCACTTGTTCTTAAATTATAACCTGTCGTACACTCCTCTTGTCAGTTCGTTGAACATCTTCATAATATTTTGCCACTCTTCTTTGTTAAAATAGGTGATGGATCTATTTCTCATCTCAATCTCCTTAAGACGCATGTCACAAAATATGACCGTGACTTCCCTATCCCACATGACTGATGATCCAACTTCGTTGGGTTTAACCATTGCTTTACTAATAAAGAGAAGGCAAAACATTAATATTCCACAATAAAATTAAATGCAAGACACCGTCAGCACTAATCAAACACTGATGAAACACCCTAACCACAACCTAACACAACATAGAGCCACACACACACCCACAACCCCAACACAATCATCAGCCAACCAAGCCCACTCACACACCCACAAACACGACACACATAACACAAACCTACAACCCCAACACAACACACAACAACACACACCCTAAACCCAACACAACTACTACACACACAAAGCACCACACAAACAGGTCAACATAACACACACCCATGCACACACCCTAAACCCAACCACATAGCACACATCCTAAACCCAACACGACATATATCACACACCCACAACCACCACCCAACCAAGCCCCACACAACACACAACCACAACACACATCTACGACCATGACACAACACATAGCCACACTCCCACCCTAAACCCAACACAACCACCCACACACATAGCACCACACAAACAAAACAACCCACCACAATACACATCCACACACACACCCTAAACCCAACCTCATAACACACATCGTAAACCCAACACAATACATAGCACACACACAACCCCAACACAACCACCACCCAACCAAACCCCACACAACACACAATCATACACACATCCACAACCACAACACACATAGCACACATCTACAACCCCAACACATCACAAAACCACACACACACACACACTAAACCCAACACAACCACCACCCAACCAAGCCCCACACAAAGAACCCAACACAACACAAACCATAACAAAGAGCACCCAAGGCCAACCACACACACACACACCATAGCCAAATACATCAGAATTATATGCTATACATGTAAATTTTATGCCCATAACCAAATACAACAACCATATACGACCACACACACACCCACAACCAAATATAGACACCATATAGATGCCCACAAACCACACAGTCACCACCCAAGGCCAATACAACACATAACACACACACAATCTCAACACAACCACCACCCAACCAAGCCCCACAAAAACAACATTGCACAACTCAAACCACAAAACTAGGCACCCAAGGCTAACCACACATAACCACACACACACCCACAACCAAATACATTATGCTGGACATGTAAAATTTTAAGCCCACAGTCAACTACAACCATCATGTACAACCACACACACTCCCACAACTAAATACGACCACCATAATAATGCCACAAACCACACAACCACCACTGAAGGCAACCATAACAAAACCATAACACAAATAGCCAATCACAATGGAGAATCACACAAAGTCACATGATACAACCTCATTCACCCCAATTCATTTTTACCCATCCTCCAAAGTATCCAAAAATTGAAAAATCTCACAAAGGAATTTCATGAGAAAAACCACAAAGAGATGACCATTCCATTGAGAAATCGATACAAATTGCATCTAGAAAAACATTCCATTGAAATTTTTTGCAGAGCAAAGCAACCAAAGGTCGGAGGGAGAAGGAAGGGGTGAAAGACACTGCTAATCGTGAGAAAGGAGCAACCGAGTGAGAGAGGCGAGCGAGAAGTTATTTAAGACAGAACATGGGTAGTGCGTTCAGACGGATCGACAAAAGGGCACAAATATCATAAACGAAGTTTAGGACACATGTCATAAAGTCAATCTCACATATGCACTTAATAAACGAATCAAAACGGAGGTTCCGGATAAGCAGTCTAAATGCACAATTCAAATTCCCTTGGACCTTTTCATAAATAAACCATACTCTAAACTCTAAACCCTAGACTTATTTATAAGCTGCCCCCAAACTGCAAGGTTAGGTCCGCCGGCGAGTACGTGTCCCTGTTCTCCGTATCTTGCATCCTGATTTTGAAGTATTTAGCTATCCTCAAAAACCATAGAAAAACTGAGATCTTTCTACCTTGGCTCTTTACATGCGTTAAACCTCTAGGCTTTCCACCAACATGGCGGTACACTTCAAGTTTCGAAGCTCGGTCGCCTTCGATTCCATCGACCTTGGCGGTCGCCCCTCCATCTCTGTCCGCGACCTCCGTGCGAAGATCGCCGACCTCAAGAAACTCAGGACTTGTGCTGATTTCGATCTCGTTCTTGCCGATGCCGATACTGGCCAAGGTTTGTCTAGCCACGCGCTTCTTGTATACCCTCCTCATTTCAATTTCTTCTTAATGTGATTGTTTTTATCCTCTCACAATTCATTCCAGTCTTTGAGAATGAGTACTTCCAGATTCCGTTGGGTGCTAGCGTAGTCATCAAGCGAGTGCCAACAGGAAGAGATGCGACTAATGATCAGTAAGTTGGTCTCACTTTGTCATTGTTTCATTGTAGTTTTTGCTTTTTATGGTTATTCTTTGCTGCATTGTTGGTATTCGTTGTTGCATAGGGATGTAATTGCTGCTACTGCGGGAAAATCGGGAGGATATATTGGAACGCTCTCACTCTCAAATTCCGAGGTATTACTTGTTTCATAGGTTTTGTTGGCAAAAAAATACGGTCCCTATTTGTTAACCGTTTCTTTTTCTTTTAAAATGTAGGAGAACTCATTCCTTTGTTATGTGCGCATCATTAAATTCGTTGCATTCTTTCTTGCCTCTTTGTAGCATGAAATGCATCATTGACATGCTTAGGGCCAGTTTGGTTGATTTAACAAGGATTTAATAAATTCTGTATTATAAACCCTGAGAGTTTTTTGGTTGCCCATATCTTAAATCATGTCAAATCTCGTGGTTGTTTCGTTTCATTTTGGCAGGTTTTGTGAATTTAAAGGGATTTAGAAGGTATTGTGAATCAAAACCATTCAAAACGATAAAATATCAAATAATTATGCTAATTTACCAAATCAGGATACTTAATTTAAGGTCTTTAACATACATATTTCATTAAAAAAAATTGCAACAATATCTACATAAATTTCAAGTTTATTTATTTACTCAGTAGAATAATTAATAGAATCTCATAATTATAAGCATGACAATGATTTCAAACATTAGAAAAATCATAGAGCAATGTTTTGTTCTGTAGTATTTAGTTAAACAATATTGGTACAGTAAACTCATCACAAAAGGTGCAATCATAGTAGCACATGAACCCATATTGTCACAGTGCACATGCCAAACATCCTAATGTAAACAAAATTTGGAAGTTATAATAGAAATAATTCATGGAATAGTTGCAACTTGCACCAACGCCTCCAACCATCTTCCCCCATAAGGCGTGTTAGCTTGATGGCTTGTACTTGGCCATTTATTTCCCTCCAATAACCTAGGGGCCTTTATTAGCGTGTGTATGCTTAGGTACATTGATTCTTTGGATGATTTTCTTCCCAAGTACCCCAGCTTCACCCTACAAAGGCAATTTAGTATTTTATTTTCTTTAAGAAATTATGTGCTTAAAAGATCATAAATTGTTTGGTTGAATGAAGGGATGTAATGGTGAAACAACTTTAAACATAGGCATTTAGTAGTAGTGTAATTTATACTGAGAAAATGGTAATTAATATGACAACAATTGAATAGTTGAAGTAATAATTATATACAGTTAGTAATGCTAAATTATATTATTAAATTAATACTACCTAGACATTTTCATTTGTAGGCAACCAAATTTGTTGAACTCTTTTATGACATATTCTTTAAATGCACATATTTTATCAAAAAATTGAAACACTCTATCAAACCTTAGTTAATTCCTTAGGTTAAAAAAAATATATAATGAAGGAGGACGACCTAGTCAAACTCAATTTTTATTGACACCCATCCCGACTTGTACTCGGCAGGATCAAGTGGTAAATTAGTCATACTAAATCGTCAAAAAATAAATTTTAATATTTTAATTCATCAACTAATTCTTTGATATCAAACATAAATCATAAAATGTGCATAAACAATCCTCAAAAAAAATACCAAGCTTCTAAAAGTGCTTAAATATGAAATCATACGTATTCTAAAAGTCATTTATAATCATCCAAAATTTTAATTTAAAAGTTTTACAAAAGAGCAACTCTCTCACTCACTGAAAAGTAACATTATAGTATCTGGTAAGTTACACGTTTAGTGAGATAAACAATGTTAGAATAAGATTCAAATATATAATAAAAATAATTGGGCATTGTAATAGTGATTAATATGAGCAGTAACAGTAGTACTGAATAAACATGATTTGATACTCAAATAGTAAAGTGAATATGCTTATAAATAATAGATGCATTAGTTGTATTAAGTAAATAAAATTATTACTGATAAGTCATTTAAGGCACTATGCTATGGGATGTTATATTTCTTTTTGCTTTATATTTTCATTCTTATTCTCAATATTCTCTATTTTAGAAATGTCATATTGTGTATGCTTAGCTTTGATATATTTCATTTTATTGGATCACCATTCAACCTATTGACAATGATAATTATTGATAAAGATTAATTTTCCCAACTTCACACTATCAAAGATCCCCTAATATCAATTAGTCCGCTCCAATATTAATATGAAACGTCAAATATTTAATCATTTCCTTATTTAGGCTCATATTGTCAGACTTTTGCCTTCCCTACATAGATCATCATTAAAGTTTTCTCTCTATAACAACATACTTTACATTTCTTCAATCATTTTTACCTATTATAATAATTTTTATCTGGATTTATTACAAAATCTGAATGTATCTACAGTCAATTATTTTATTAATGTGCACAATAAATTAAATGTGATAGATATTAATAAAAAAATTATACCTAATGTTATAATTTTGAAATTAGAAGTATGCAGATGTATTTACATATATAAATCATACTAACAATAATATTTATGCTCAAAATATGAGAATTCCTAAATGCAACCACATAATAAATGAATTTATTAATGTGCATTAGCAAGTGATGATCATATAAATGTTATATTTATTATGTTAGATTTCTTTTTGCTTTATATTTTCATTCTTATTCTCAATATTCTCTATTTTAGAAATGTCATATTGTATATGCTTAGCTTTGATATATTTCATTTTATTGGATCACTATTCAACCTATTGACAATGATAATTATTGATAAAGATTAATTTTCCCAACTTCACACTATCAAAGATCCCCTAATATCAATTAGTCCGCTCCAATATTAATATGAAAAATCAAATATTTAATCATTTCCTTATTTATGCTCATATTGTCAGACTTTTGCCTTCCCTACATAGATCATCATTAAAATTTTCTATCTATAACAACATACTTTACATTTCTTCAATCATTTTTACCTATTATAATCATTTTTATCTGGATTTATTACAAAATCTGAATGTATCTACAGGCAATTATTTTATTAATGTGCACAATAAATTAAATGTGATAGATATTAATAAAAAAAATTATGCCTAATGTTATAATTTTGAAATTAGAAGTATGCAGATGTATTTACATATATAAATCAGACTAACAATAATATTTATGCTCAATATGTGAGAATTCCTAAATGCAACCACATAATAAATGAATTTATTAATGTGCATTAGCAAGTGATGATCATATAGAGCATTTTGCTTCTTAATTTTGCATTTAAATATCTCATTTAAGTGGTTTGGTTAGTGTAGTGATGAATGTCTTTCCTACATTTGCCTCGAACTCGCTGCCTTGCATAAACAATTAGGATTTAAAATTTTCCTTCAGTTTTTATCAATTTCTTAAATTAAATTAAATTCAACACATTTATAATCTCAATTGCATTTATACCTCAAATTGACTTGGCCTAGTTTCTCCTTTATTTATCTCTTTTCAAAATTTCCTTTTTCTGAAATGCAAAAGATGACACCTATGCAGGCTCGACAACAGTGAATTGGAAAGAATCGTGAGTAATTACTGAGGTTTATTGAAATAAAATGAAGTAGTTTTCTATAAGCATGTGTGCGCACACATTTATATGTTTTATACACATAATTACCCTCTCCAACACCTCCAATTCCTCCCCACAACTGCTACCAGAGAGCAGATACTCTCAGTTTCACCTAGCTAATGTGAAAAATGGGAATTTAGAAAGGAATTACAAGGAATTTTTAGGGTTAAATGATATTAATTATATGAATTTATATGAATATACACGTCTGTTTAATTTATCATACCTCAAAACCCCCTTAATTTCCTTTAAAGCTTTGGTTATTTGCTTCCCATGCCTAACCCGAGAGCTTTCACTCTCTCTGTTTTGCGCCACAGCCTCCGCTTTGCTTCCACCTCCTGCCACAGTACCCAGGTTGCGGATAGTGAGTAGAAAACCGAAGGATGGATGGGCTGTGGGAAGGAAAAACTGAGAGAAATGGTGAGGGAATGGATATTTAACTTTAGTTTTATACATAATAATAAAAATCTGAATTCATTTTATTGAATGAATCCCAACTGTCCCACCTATGCATGTCGTTTTAAGTGGAATGCCATCCATTACAGTGTGATTTCTCTGTGAACAGTGATTACGTTAGGAAACAGTCAAATGAAAGTGGAATTGCTTAATTTTATTGATTTTTTTTATAAATTTAAACACGTTAATAATTATATATACATCTATATGTCAATTTGATTAGAATAAGGTGTAGAACTTTATAAAAATAGTTTGGATGATTTTCAAGGTATACGAAAAATGAGGTATATTTTAAAATTATATTTTAGTTTACCATTTTGATCATCTTGGGTATTACACACCTACCGGACAATTTCATGTATATAATCTAATCGATCACATTTGCACTTAATGCATCTAACAGTACTAGCATACCCTTGTTGGTTAATGTGGTATTGTGTTTTAACTTAGACATACAATCATACATTGTGTATGGTATTTTTTAATAATTTTATTTCTTAAACATACTAGTGCAATCATTGATTGCATCAAATGGCTTCTTATTTATTCCTTGCTTACCTTAGACCAGTTACGTTGGATAGAATGTTCATTAGTTGTTGCCTTCTTGATCCAACGCCTCCATTTTCATAACTTGATTTGGCCCATATAATAAAAGATGGACATTTATGGGTACCGAACTAGATTGTATTTTAAATACACTCTCTTAAGTATTTATGAATTGGGACCAATAGGATTTTTATCTTGAATATTAATCCCATGTATTTCAAGAAATGCTCCTCTGCATTTTTTAGATTCTCTTCAATTAAAGGCTCAATTGGTGTAGGTTTGCTATTGTGGTTCATGATGATGAGTTGCACTTGCAAAATTTCTAATTATAATATAATCTCTTCTCATCCTATCGATCACATTATATTATGAATAAATTTTAATGGATAATAGGCGATGGCTAGGTTCTTCTCCATTGTAAATTAGATGTATGTGTAACAAATCATAAATAGTTCGCATCTTTTATGATTTAGATGGCTCTTTGGAAAAAAAATGTAAGTTTACTCATGGATTAATAAATGTGCAAATAATTTTTAGTAGGGATAATTTGCAACAGTGCAAGTTAAAAAATTGAAGT